GATAAACAATATAACTGACCCAATACTGTAATCAAGAAAGGTCACAAGAACCACAATTTCCCACCCACAAGCTTTTAGGCTAGGTAAGATCTTCCGCTACGCTCGAAAATCGCGGCGAATGTTCGTGCTTCGACATGAATGGTGTAATCGCGGAAGACACACATTGCCGTCGACTGCATCCTCTGAGAATTCGCAGCGGACGAATGGCGGAATCGGCAAGTTGAGTGATATCGGAATTGTGGAATCATGAGCCGGTCAACCAGGATATTTCATACTTTATAAAGATTGACAGTGAGGGTGTGGCGCTGCGTTGTGACGCCAAGCCAAATACTATTTTGGCCGGAATTGGGCACGCACCTTTCTCGCGCACTCGCGACCGGTATTGAAAATTTTAACATAACCTGAAGAAAGAAGTAAGTTAAGTCTAGAGAGAAAACCCGGCAAGGCTGGGATAGAACCGAATTATCAAATCCATGCTCAACTGCGGCGGAGGGACGGTAATCGGGCTCGCGTATGGGGGCCCTTTTCGCGCGCGCAACTGCGCTGCAGCCTTTTTTGCATATAAATTTGTATATTCCTGTATGCAGGTGTAGGAAAAGCATGTTGCGTATGCAAAAACGGGTCATGACAGCTTGAAAAGATATAGAAGAGTGAAATTTGTTCGTATTTACAAAACTCTCGAAAAACGAAATGTTGGAGCGTTTGTAGAATGCTGTTTTCTTCCTGTTAATAATTTGATACTTTATTCTTTTTATGTGCTTCTCAGCTACTCCATTCGATACGTTTTTCTTATCCTGTCGAGATTTACGTTCACAGCGCAGTTGCGCGCGCGAAAAGGGCCCCCATACGCGAGCCCGATTACCGTCCCTCACTGCGGCGTCGCAACGCAACAGCTCACGCGCCTTCTATCTGGCATTAGGTATCTCCACACTTTATAAGGACCGGCCGATTCAGAGAGATTATAAGCGGAAGAATCGGCCGATCGACTGTGCGCCAAATCGGTATTAGACAGGGGGCGGTCGCGTTGCTGCTGAATACCGACTTGGCGTAAGTTAGCTCCATCCCAGCTTTTCCGCACTTTTCCCTTCGGGCTTTGTCTTGCTCTAATTCTTTAGATTGTGTTG